CGGTGCCCTGCTCGGCCGTACCCGCACCACTGGGAGCTCCGGCCCTGAGGCGCTGGCCCTTGGTTCCCTGAGGTGCCGATAGGTTGTTGGCCGAGGTGAAAGGCGCCTGGTAGCCAGGCAACCTGACAGCATACAAACAAACTGAAGATCATAGAATCATAGAATGCTTTGGGGTGGAAGGGACCTTGTGAGATCATCGAGCCCAACCCCCTGCAGTGAGCAGGGATTGAACCTGTGAACTTGGCTGTTTTGGCGCCGTGTTCTAACCAACTGAGCCAACCCGGCTGGTCAAGATGTCTGGCCAAGTACTGACTAGCATCTTCAGCACATCATTCAAAATACGCGAGTCCTCCCACGTGTGCCCATATGTCCTCCCCTCTCATGTCTTGGTGTTTGTTAGCAAGTCTACCTGTAGAGCTAGGTAGGTTTCAGCAGTTCGGCTCTAAAGAGAGAGCTTCACTTGTCATTGATTCAGCTCTCAAGCCTGTTCCTCTGTGAACTGTACCGCTAACAGTGCCGGAGGAGGAGGTCTCCAATGAAGGCAGTGGTGGTCAATGACGGTTTTTAGACGCGATGAACCTGTCTGCCAACTAGAAATTCAAATTCTACCCAAGACCTGATGAGGTTTTTCAGAGGCTGCCGAGTTAAATAAGTTTTGTTTCTTGCAGTATGAGGCAAGTCATAATTTTCTTATGCTGTTAGCAGCACCTTATTTTGTTCGTTTCTGCTGATCCTCTTTTCTGATAGCCCTGATACTTGAAGGGAAGGAAGAAGGTAAAAGTTCAGTTCTTCTGTGTTGCTGCTTGCCCAAGAAAGTGAAACTACTCTGTGTTTCGGTTTTGCTGCAGTCATCTAAAAGACTGTTGTGAGGTTTTTTGTGAGGTTTTATGCGCAACTTTCTTTTCTGGTTTTGTTGTTATTTCTACAGTGCTTTTCAAGTCAAAGATGTGTTTACATTTTGTGGTTTATTCCTATGTTTTGTGGCTTTGTTTTCTCTGTGCTATTGCTCGCGTTTCCAGCACAGATTTTTAGAAGTACAGTTTTTACCCAATCAGAGATAACCACTGATATGGCTGTAAACACTAGTTACTTTTAAAGAATACTCAGGGGTTTGTCTTTTTAAACAAGTGAAACAATTTCTTCCCTCCCTCTTTCATGCAGGTTGTGCCATTAATTTTGAAAGACCTGAAGGGTCTGTTAGGTGCATCTCCTGGCTGTGTAGCTTTTTTCTTTGTTAAAGAGATCATGTATTTATGGGTTTTACCTTTTCTTATCTGGGGTCCTTAGGGGTCTCCCTGGTGTTTTGGTTAAGATGAGATTTCACAAAAAATGGTGGAATAACTTTTTGGGGATAATGTTTTGCTGAATTTATATATTTGGCTGAAAAGCGTTAAACCACACCTATGTAGCTGTTGACAAAGATAGATTAAACAACTGTGACTTTCATGTCAGGTAAAAATGAGTGAAAACCAGTAAATTATTGTTGCTTCATCAGTTCTTCATTCTTCTAGTGCTTTGTTTGACCTCTTATTAAAACAACAGTGGAAATCCTCCTGTGAATAGTTTGTGCAGTTATGGTCCTGTTCAGGTTGAAAATCACATGTTCTTTTTGTACTTTCATATATGTGAAAAGCAGTGTGGTGGGTTGACCCTGGCTGGATGCCAAGTGGCCACCAAAGCTGCTCTGTTACTCCCTTTCTCAATTGGACAGGGGAGAGAAAATATAACCAAAAGCTTGTGGGTCGAGGTAACAACAGGAAGATCACTCAGCAGTTACCATCATGGGCAAAATAGACTCGACTTGTGGAATATCAGTTTAATTTATTTCCAATCAAAACTGAGTAGGATAATGAGATATAAAACCAAATCTTAAAAATGCATTCCCCCTGTCCCTCCTGGGCTCCACTTCACTCTCGATTTCTGAGAAAACCAAATCTTAAAAATTCCTTCCCCCTGTCCCTCCTGGGCTCCACTTCACTCTCGATTTCTCTACCTCCTCCCCCATGCAGCGCAGGGGGACAGGGAATGGGGGCTGTGGTCAGTTCATCACACGCTGTCTGCTGCTCCTTCCTCCTTGGGGAAGAACTCCTC